TCAGGAGATATGAAAGGTGGAATCCAGTACATCCAACATACGGGGCGTTTTGGGGTGTAGGAATAGGCATTGGTTGTGGAGTTGGATGGGGTCCTGGGTTTGGCCCCGAGGTGATTGGTTATGTTGGAGCTGGCTGTGGTGCTGGAGTTAGTGTTGGCGTCACTTTGCTTGGCGTTGGCATTGGTCTTCCTGCCAATTACCTCCTTACGGCCCCTTACAGTGGTAGATTTCAATTTCAGATCGATATTAATGTCGGATAACGTATCCTGCACTTAGCAACATTTGATGTAATACTAGTGCAGATCTTTATTCGTTTCACTTCTTCAATGTTCATATTAGCTTTTATGATTACAAGAAGAGGTGCATTGGAAGTTGCTCGGTCTAGAGGTCTACTTGGCATGATAAATGGCGCTGGGGATGGATGGGATAACATTGGATCACACATCTCCAGCTTGCGACAAAATTCAAGTACATCGTTTTCTAGCTTCAACGAAAATTCACGGGACGGGAAATCCATATTAATTTCCCCTGCTAAACCTGTCAAGGACTATTTAGAAAGAGTCAGCTGGTGCTTCTTTCATTCTGATAGAGGTATTCAAAGCTGTGGATTAGTTTACTCTTACTTGAGCATTGTGTCCTTTGTGCAGTAACTGTCACTTTTTTCATAGTTGCCTACGGTCATGCTATAATGCAACAATAATATATGCGTTGTGCGGTAGCTTTTTGAACCTGAGACTAGATGATGCCTTCTTTTAGTTCAAATTTATCAAGATGTAGTAATGATATAAACAGCCCATCGGACAGTCTATTCATGGTTTAATATCAAAGTAAGCTCCGCCCATGTTTAGATTTAGATAATGAAATTCAACCCAGTTACCAAAAGCGAAAGAATCTTCGTTACATGCCTAGCATAGGACTATGGAAAAAGCTAAGGGACAGGTATGGGAACTTCAAACTTCTGTTATTTATATACCGAGTCTTTGAATCTTTTGAATCCAATATCACTTTACAGTTAGCATGATCAATTTTATATCAGTTAAGTTTCTATGGACAATGGTAATTATTTTGTTGAGCTATTGTAAACAATTGAATCAAGTAACCGATGAATTTCAAAGTCGTGTTCAAATTATTTTGTCGATCTATCTTCTCTTCACCCTTAAATTCCGAAATAACATGACATGCTTTGTCGTGCAGGTTCAAAAAAATGATGGCGTAAAAGACCACCCTTTCAGAGGGTGCCCTCGTGTCCAATTCAATGACCAACATCGGTTCCAAGGTAGCATCATACTGGAAAATCTTCTTGTAACTAGAACAGAGAGCTTTCTGTATTTTTGTAGTCTTATCACTTAAAGCCTCTGTATAACTGGATAGAAAACTTTTTGAAGATTCAATACTTACAATTGTGTAATTCGCATCATGGCTTGTGAAATTTGAAAGAAAATTGTTGCTTTGCAATCTTATTGCTTAGCAAAAGCATTACATATTCAACCAGTCAGGCTGGTTTAATTCAATGCCTGGATTTGATTTTGTTCACATTGGATCACATTGTTTATACTTTCGAACAATTTGCTTTATGTGGGGGAAAATGATGTACCAATTTAGACGGATAACGATGATTTATATGCATGTTTGCGTCGACATGACATATAACGTGTCATGTCATTTTTCACGATTGTCAAACTATCACGACTTGAGTGATTTGATCTGAAATAAAACAATCATGGATTTTAGATTGGAGTGGCTGAGCACGAAGAGCCTCCAATCACCTTTTCGATTTGATCAAATGTAGTCGTTTTGTTGGATATTGTATCGTTGTGTCGAGTGGTGGGTTGTGATATGTGTGATTTTATTTTTGGAGCAAGCAGTAAGCTGGCTCATGAACTTGCATCCTATGCTAGGATTCGGTTATGTGATTGCATTGTATTCCTTATTTTTTTTCTACTGTATTTTATGGAGATAGTATTGAATGAAAGTCATTTTTAATTTCAAAAATTATAAAGGTTGTGATTTAATCAAATGTTTTAGGTCCACATTGACCTCGATATACACCAAGAACAATTGATGCACGTCAAGTTCGAATATGAACTAGATCTCATAAATTGTTGTCTATAAAATTACAATATCGATACAATTTAAATTAAGCGAAAGCTTCTTTTTTTTTTCGAACTACATTTTTTAGGAGAAAAAAATAAAGTTTAAAATACATATTTAGGAGGGAACATAGAGCTTTTCTTTTATTTTTATTGAATAACTTTTGGTTTTAAAGAGAGAGAAAATTTAATATTAGATTACTTGAGTTCCATTCTAATCAGTGTTCGAGAAAAAAAAAATGTATTTTATAATAGTGATTTTTTAAAAAATGTGTGGTTGAAAAAAAAGAAAATTTTTTGAGTTTATATGTAATTATTTTATTGAAAAATATGTGATCCAAAAGAAGAAGTGAAAAGTTTATGGGTCAGGTGTTTACTATTCCAAAATTAAAAATCAGGCCCAACAGTTTAAAATTACAAAAATCATGTTTTTCTTAAATTAATTAATTACATTTCATAATTATTATATTAAATTAAATAT